CCAAGAGATATATAACCTGAATTTCTCTATTTAGGGTTTGGATTGCTGGCTGGGCAGATGAGTCCCTCTACATCTTTTGACTGACATAGGCAGCATAAGGACCAATCCAAATCATGCACTGCCGCTGGTAAAGAAGCAATAGACACCACTTTTACGCCTTTTCGTCCTTTCGGCATTGTCTGAGATGCTGAGATCCATACATATATGCGGAAGGGTTTTTTTCATTGTTATAAGCTTGAATTTGTTTGTTAAACATGCATTTCAAGCCTACTTTTCATTAGGAAGTGAAGTAATCCAGAAAATGCGAAAAAAGTTTCATCTCACAACAGTTTCGGATAATTTACGTTTTTACAAGAGAATAAGCCTAAAAAGTACTTTTAAGACGTATTTGGGTTGTTTTGCTCTGATGTCTAACAATTTTAACACTTTGAAGTTGGAGCACTACACCAAGGACGTAAGAAATGCAACCTAACCTCAATTGACAATTGACAGTTATATTAGAGAGCAACCATAACGAGTAAAGCCCAATACGCCGCAAAACTCCACTGCGATTTTATTCGTGATAAACTACATTGTACTTACGTTTTTCAAATGAATATGTACCTACTTTCACGGCACAATAAACACATAATAAACTATCGCAATCTACACTAAGTTTTGTCCCGAGTAAAATCTTTCGAATCTTGTCGGACGATAAAGATATCATAAAATCGGCATAGATATAAGAAATGAATCATGGTCCTCACACAGAAATTAAGTTTGGATGTTATTTTTGTTACTTTTACCCTCGGGAACCCCGAAAACGACACTTTGAACTAAAAGTCGCTCTAAAAAAAAATGTTGCCTGAAATTCGCCTAAATTATAAAAATTGGCGCCATTTTCAATCCTGAGGGAAGGAACTTCCGGCTCTGCGAATCAAATCACTCCAATAGGCCCAGGGAACATGTATACGAAGTGGCACAATTTTAATATGAAATGTCGAATAATACCAGTATTTCTCACGAGCCGCTCCAACTATTAGGTAAACTTTGGACAAGGGGAACCCTTGCAAACAAAATAATCGTTAAGGTACACCTCAGATTTAGGTTACACTTACGTAGGAGTAAGTTTTGAGGGGAACCCGTGCAAACGGCCATTAGACTCCACATTTAGCTCACAAAAAAATATCTATTACGAAGACAAACCCCCAAGACCTTTAAAACCGAATCAAACTATTGTCCCGTCTAATATCATCATCAAGACTGTTATAGGCAATTAGACCCTTGTGAAATAAGGACTTCTCCGTTCTAGTTTTATTTTTTTTACAAAGTCTGAAATTATCACGAGATCGAGTATTATAGGAATGCTGGTCGAAATTATTCGATAGCTTCACGGTCAGGTAAGATGGAGTTAATCCTATCTTAATCTTATGGACCAATGTAAGGGTTTTATATTTTAAATAGTATTCCACAGAAAGCCAACCAAGCAACTTCAACATGAATTCGATGGACGTATCCTTGGGTACACTCAATATAGCCCGCATTGCTCGATTTCGCTTTTTTTGAAGTCGACCTAACTCATTCTTGTTTAGCATGTACAATAATAAAAGATTTAAGTCTTCAGAAAACTAATTCAACAAAAAAAATTGATAATTGAAAATTGTGTCGATAAATATGGTCAGCTTCTGCCTAAAAAATAAATTCAATAAAATCAACTTGCACCTGTATGAAATCGAAAGTTGGGTTAAATAACGGTTAAATGGTCAGGGGATCTAATAGAAATCCTCAAATACATAAGTTATAGGACCCAGGGTTAAAAATTGATCAATTTTCGACGATGTAGCTACTTACTTAATAATTTTAAATTAAGAGCATGTTGACTAACCTTGAATTCTGTTCAGATTACTGATTGATTATAATTGATAAAATATAAGTACATTCTCTAAATATTAGTTAAGAAGAATAAGAAGTTAAGTAGAGATAAAATCTATAGTAAATACTGTAAATCAAAAATCGGAAATATTTATTTAAAGTTCACTTAGGTGTCAAGAATACGAAATTGAAATTTCAAATACTTAAATGTCATATCAGGAAAAAAATATATCAATTAATTTTGTTAATTGATCATAAAGTAGATTTCATTCAAAAAATAATAAAAGGTATAAATAAAACTCTATACAAGCCTCCATTCCAACAAAGAGGTAGAACACGGTAGCCATCCGTTCTCGGCCACTTGACGAGGGAAGTTGCAAGTAGAAGTTGCAGATTCTAGCCTGGAATCAAAGATAGGAGTTCAGTTTTCTTCGTCAAATGTGGAGGTACACGTATCGACTCGTGAGGGACTTGATTCCTCTAGGAATCGCTTCAAAAGCTCTATGTCACGCTCCACGAAAGTGGTGTTCTTTTGAAAAAGTGTCCTTATGGAAATGTATTCGTTGAGAGAAAAGGCTCCTCGGAAAAACAGCTCCTCGGAAAACCCTTAGTAATACAGGCATTCCATGAATAACAACCCAATTAAAAATGAGCCTATCACGAGGGGGTTTGAAATTCAAACTCAAACAAACCGGTAATCACAAGACTTCCGATAATACTTTTTTTGGTAAATAATGGATTATTTCTTTACGCAACTTTATTTCTTTAAAATAGTGCCTGATGGCCGATAAGGTACTTGTTTCCACGAGAACGGTATTCGCACTTAAGAAAGATGGGCTGCCCCCAAGCCAGGATCGATCTTTCAGCTCGAACGGCAACATTCAAAAGGAATGAAGAAACGGGCAATCTCTACAAGCAGAGCTTTCTTTCCAAAAATAGCGAACGGAAAGCGTTGGTACTTAACTGCTATTTCAAATTTAAACGAAAATCGTCCCCTCTAGTTTAATAATTGCTATCATTAGATATTAACAGCAAAAACCTTTTTTTTTCTTGAATGGTAATCACCAGACTGTCAACATTAAAGGTAATATAAAATTAAATTTGAAAGAAAAAATAACAATTACTAACAGTAGCATTTCACATGCTACAACTGTCCATTATCTCTAGTGATTGTCTACTTATTAATTGTTTTCCTTAATTTTCTTGAAAATATAGCTCTAGTTAAATTTGCATTACTAGTCACTGAGATTCGTAGAAAGTTTAAATTTTAGACATAGCTTAGGGAGTTCCTGCATATTACTTTTGGGCAAGAAAATGTCTTCTACCTTATATAGGGTTGGTCAAAATTAGTAATTGTGCTGCCAGGTACAAAAAAGTTGAGAAGTGCATTTGTTTAAATAGGGCACCCTATACAGGGTGTCCCACGGTGGATGGCGTATTAGACGTTTATGGAGAACTAAAAAGCGGATCAGTTTGAAAATTTGGCAACCGGAATAAACAACCATGATCTACACTTTAAAACTATTCTTGTTTCTTGCGGTGTTGCGGCTTCTACTCTAAGCCAGTGGCAACAGCGCTATTTTAAATAGAACACCCTGTATGTGATTACATATTTTGATTCTACATAAAATTCTGAGCAGATTTCATGTGATATACCCTATACCTAAGTTCAACTGTTTCGGAATTATTGACAGTTGAAAATTGACTTTTTGCAACTTTGACAGACTGTAAAACCTGAACGGTTAATTTTAGAGAAAAGCCGATTTTACATTCTTATCTTAGATTTTCATGAACTCGTTCATGAACTATCATTTGATACCAACTTTAAATTTAACCGGAGATTAAATTTAATTGGAATTTTTTTATCATGGATTAAATTTGAAGTTGGTATCAAATGATAGTTTATAAAAATCTAAGATAGAAATGTAAAATCGGGTTTTCTCTTAAATTAACCGTTCAGGTTTTACAGCTTGGCAAAGTTGCAAAAAGTAAATTTTCAACTGTCAATATTTCCAAAACAGTTGAACTTAGGTATAGGGTATATCACATGAAATCTGCTCAGAATTTTACATAGAATCCAAATATGTAAACACATACAGGGTGTTATATTTAAAATAGCGCTGTTGCCACTGGTTTAGAGTAGAAGCAGCAACACCGCATAAACAAAAATATTTTTAAAGTGTAGATTATGGTCGTTTATCCCGGTTGCCAAATTTTCAAAATGATCCGCTTTTTAATTCTCCGTAAACGTCTAATACGCCATCCACCGTGGGACACCCTTTATATTATGAAATATTATAAAGGGCAATCCAAATCCCTTACAAATGATGTATCATGTTCCTATACCTAAATAGTAAGGTTTCAGAAATACAAGCAAGTTTTTGTTAGAATTGGATTATTTTGGGATATTTCTCTAATGGCGTTTCCGATTGTTAAATTTAATTCGCATTGAGTTTATTTTCATATCTTTCTCTCAGTCTGCTGAAGAAGCAGATAGAAATACATTTTCTTTGCACTCATTCTACCAACCGGAAACGCTGTTGAATAGCTATGAAATGTCACGATGAAATATATTACGTAATTTAAACCACGTGATTTTCTTCAATTTCCAAATTGACAGGAGGGAAATAGTCATGGTAAAATAGATGGCCCACTTCCATAGATGCCTATGGTTAGACTTTTGTGACGTCATTGGACCAAGCTGTCAAAAACATCGTGAGTAGGAGAGAGGCAAAAACACAACAATGACAATATCTTTGCGTATAACACATGGAAAGTGGATCATCTTATGCATACAAAAACAAAAATAATCAGAAAGTAAAATGCAATAATATAAAAGGTGTCTCATTTAAAATATCTAATTCTATATAACTTTTTTGTATAGGCGGCATCGCCGCATCGTTGAAATTATTTTAGAATGATAGACCAATAGCAATTACTTGAGCATGCAAATTTTCAAAAAATTCCAATATTCCGTTTTCCATACGCGTCTAAGGTACCCATCGACCATCAATCACCCTGCAGAGCGTCAATTTATGTGATTGTATATTGAATTCGACGCAATAAGCCATGTTATCTTTTCACCATTAAATGATTTGCCCAACGAAAAACCGTCTTGATTTAATTTAACGTTATCTTGATCCCGTTTAGGTGAAGGTCGCTTATATCCGGACATAAGATCTTTGAGATATCCAAAGCCAGGGACTCGGAATCCAGTTGTCAGCTTGACTATAGCGGATTTTGCCGACATTTCCAACGTTAAAATGAAAAAAGTAATACCGCCATCTGTGATATCAAGTTCGTAAGTATGTTGCGGTGGAATATCATTTGAATACATATAATTTTTTTGGCCATAGAAACTGGAAATACAAAGAAATACAATGTTACTTACTTATCATTATTGCATCGAGGGTATTGATGGTGCCACAAAAAAAATTAAAAAAAATATTCCAGAAGGGAAAAAGTCTGCTTGAAATTCTCTAAGGGTATCTGTGGTATACAGAATAGTCATTAGTAAACCTAGTTGGTCCTGTCCAGGGTCCTACTGATTTTTCGGCTTATCTTGATATACGTTATGGCCTTCTCTCGTTGCCGTAGCTAATCATTCTTCTCAAATCTGAATTTCGATGTGTGGCTGCCCTCTCTTTTCTCTGTTTTCTCTGCTTTCTCTGCTGCCTGCTTCCTTGGAAATATTTTTTCATGCTTGAAATCGTACGTACCACTACCAAAGGACGTTGATAATGCTTAACTGAACATTTTTCACATTCTCGACTCGCTTCCGATACGTCTGGAGTGCATGTTGAAAAAATTGAACCGACAGCTAACTGTGGTCTAGAGCTATAGGTTTTATCATCGATACCATGGTTTTTAGTTTCGCGGTATTTTCTCAATTATCAACGGAAAAGCCTGCCTATGACTGTGCCCGCCTTGTTTCTTGTCGTTCCACATCAGACTCTTATCCATAGTCAGTCCAGTCAATACTGACTAGTGGCGTGCACCCTGTTTGGTGATAAGGATAGTTTGGCTCTTCGTTGGGATGATCTTCATATTTGAACGCTTATCTGAAATCCAATCCTTTTCTTCCTGGAGTTTCCCTTCGATCCATTCTAAGCTTCTTCTCTATACGAGGAGCCCCGTAGAACATGTGCTTCGTGATGTTGGCTAGATCCATAACGGCTTCCCTTGGCATTTGTTCGATCATTTTATTAGCGACTGTGTCTGAGCCAGTGGCTTGACATATATTTCTCCAATTATTACCATCTGAATTTCCTGAGTAGTGTATTTTACGTGACCCCGTGTCTTAATTCTGTAGTCTTTTTGTTGATCGCTCAACCTCAATCATGTGATATTTGTGTTCGAGTGTTCATCTAGCTGGCAATCTCTTGCCAATGTGACTGCCAGGACTCTAGCCCTTTCATCATTCGTGCATGCAATCTCGTTGCGTTTGTGCTGCGATGACATAATTGTCCACTTGTTTCTGCATTTTACCTACAAACTGGTTTCACATGCTGATTTTCTGTCTTTAGTGGAAATAGTTTCTACCTTCCCAAGGAGTTCGCGATCTGGTCATTCTTTTGTTGGTTGGATGGCTAGCCTGCGATGTCTCCATCGCATGATACAGTTGTCCGACGTTGAAAAATATCTATCTCGTTATTCATTAGCTGCGTCGATACTTCACGTCACGCGTCGCTTCCAACTGGCATTCGTTATTGTTAACCTGTCAACCTGGTTTCCTGCAATCCAAAAATTTCCGGTTTGTGATCTAAGCTTTAAGTTTCCGAGCTAATAATAAACTTCTCCATAGTTGACAGCAGAATTACCATGATCTTTTTGTCTAGGTTTCTGGCGGGCAGTCGACGCGTGGGCTTACCATCCTGGTTGATGAATCATTCCCTCGATTGGGCATGTCCCTTCTGCTGTCCTCTCCCCTTTCGGAAATTCGCAGGCTTTGGATAAGTGGAGCATTCGCGGTAGCCTGCAGGCGTCCAACCTGACTGCATTGTATACAGTTGGCATTTCACCCTTTTCCCCTCGTTGCTCTACGACCCGCAAGTATCTTAAGGCAAAGCGCACATTAGAGACACATGCGACGCAACTCACGCAGGGCAGCACAAACGACACAGTGCATAAAATTCGTGGACTGGGCCAGCTAACGCAAATTGAATTTCCTATTTGGCACATTTGATAAGCATGCACGCACACGAATCTGTGACCCAAACACTGAGCGACGCATTTTTTTTGACGCATTCGTGGCCTTCCCTATGCGGACGTGCAATGCTCGCTACATGATATAGAAACGTGGCTTGTGCTGCTTTCCGTGCGTTGCGTCACATGTGTGTCAATGTGCGCCTTGCCTTAATGTACGGTTTCTTAGGACACTGCGCGACGCACAACTCACAACGTAAACGTCAGCAGAATCTATTTAGCATGATGTTGAAACACTGCTGACGCTGTACGTCGCGCTCCCCTGTGCAAACCCAACAGACCGGCCTATTGGCGATTTCAAAAATCAATGCGGCACCTGGCCGAAATATTTGGAACTAACTTAACGAGTGATAGATCGTTTGTTTACATACCGTATTGGAATATTTTCTTGCTTTTTCGATGTTTTCTGTTCGTTCCTAATTGAAATTACGACGTGTTTTGTGTCGAAAAGTGGGAAATAATCAAGGGAAAGCTTTTATTGTGATTCTGCGAGGTGCTTATTACAGGAATTCGATAGCATCTGCCTCAAAGTCCCAGCAGAATACAAACTGCTGTGTATACGAATGCCATTCCCGAAAAGATGCAGACAGAACTATTCATCGCGTGAAAATTTTGAATGTACTGGGAAAAGAAGAGGTGATAGATCGGAAAAAAACTGTGGCCAAATTCAAAGACAGGCCTCCATTTTCCACATTTCGTGTTGTATGGATACGAAATGCACAAAAGAAAGTCACAACGTTCAAAATTTAAAAAATATAGTAAAAAAACACCGAAAAAACTACGAGAACAACGAGAAAATTAGCGAAAGAAATACGAATGCATATAAATACAATGCTGAACGGCAAAATATTACTCGTTTTCTGCTATATTTGTTTACAAACGCCAGCGCCCCCATCGGTAGTCGAAATCGCCAATATAATTCACACTCGGTTGATTTTAGCAGACGTGCGTGGCGTTTGACGTTTGACAGAATGTGAGTTTTGCGTCGCGCAATGCCCTAACACACCGTACCTTCAACATGGCGCTCAGTTGATGTATGTTTCCGGGAATGCGCAATGGGGTTTTGTTTCTGATATCGGAAAAATTGCTGCGACTGTCCAGAGCCAGATCAAATCTCAGCCTCTTGCAGTTTGTGCCTTGGATGGTCACATCCATACTGAAGGCTTTAACCTCAGGGTCCTCTTAAGCTTTCGTCTTTTCTTGGTGGTGCTGCACGAGGTGGAGAGTTCGGATCTGAGTGTCTTGTTTTCTGCATCGATTTTTTCTTTTCATACTTTGATAGTGGCAGACTTAAACCAAATATCAATCTCATCAGAATATTTTTCAACAGGAAAAGTCAAAGTACACGCGTTAAGTGTACAAATCCACTGAGATCAGCCAATACCTGAAGATTATGTTGCATCTTAACTAAGTATTTTCCAAGAATCTTACCGACAATGTTCATACCAGCAGTTGCTTTTCTCACAACGTTTTTTTTCTTCTAAAAAACAATGCTTTTTTTTGTCTTATAGAACATATCCAAATCTAATACTTTTTACTGCTCCATATAATATTACAGAGATTGAAGGAAAAATATGTCGCCAGACATTTTTGACTCTCCTAATCCGCCCTTGCCTACTAGAATGCGGCACATTACCCCAAAAATTAAAATATTTTGACTTTCAGAAACCAAATAAATAAAAAAAGCATCCAAAACAATAAAATTTAATTTAAATTGGAAACACATATCAGTGGAGGTTTATAAATTATTTAGTTTCAATTAAGCATGCTACAGGCCACAAGCCACAACATGACATTTTTTTGTTTTAGAGACTATTATTTTACCGCAGTGTCCTGGATAAGCCTGACTGAAATATCCGTCGTGTGGTTAAACCGGCCGCAAAATTTGTCCGTCGTGACAATATGCTCAAGTCCCAAATGGGACTGCAAAGAGGTAAGCTATTTGATATTCCACTGGTGTTATTGAAAAATTAAAAAGGTTTTCCTAAGCGACACTAACTTGGGGAATGGGTGAAAATTCCATTAGGTGGTTTTTAACTGTGTTGTTTCCTGCATCCAGGCTAACTGAGTATGATTTTTTTGTTAGTTTGCATTGAAATTACTTTGACTCTTTTAATAACGGGCATTTTTTTGTGGGATAAAATATTACTGAAATATAAGCCCTATATCCCGTTAGCTCTACGTGAAGCATGCAACCGTTATTTTTACGTTATGGTACTTTTTGTTCCAAAAACGTACGAATGTCTCGTAATCGTTTATTTTTATAGGCAATTCCATGCTCTGAACCTTGTGTGCTTAATGCTCACAGCGATTACACAACTCATTAAATCGCTATTGTAATATGTGAGTGCTTCGTGTGGCATATCAGTTAATGGTCACTGATTTTTTTGTGAAATATAAATTTTTCAATACCTACCTACATGACATTATCCGAAGGTCATTATGCTGTGTGATGTGCATGGCACAAATAATAGATACAAGAGAATACTTTTATGGATTAAACTCAGGGTGCAAAAAAAAAACTGGTTCACTTTCGACTTTTTTTTTCGGTTTGACGTAAAGTAAACCCGACATTGAAAAGTCGGTTTAAGAAAAACATGCTTCACTTAGACATATCTCTAAGCAAAGAACAAATATAAAAGTCATAAGATATTGCAAGTTTATCATTCATTCATTAAATCTGTGATTGAATGCAAATATTTGAATCCCAAATTCATATTACGTAGGTAGCTAAAGTAAGTTAAATTCCTCCAAGCCATGAACGTCTTCACATGTACGATCATTCTGTGTGTTTACTCTGAAAATACCAAATAAAACCGTTGAGGCGCATAATGAAAATATTTGCTTCATGTTAAAACTAATATAACAGCCATTAAACGCCAAAAAAAATACCAATATGTGGTATATTTACTCAGTTTATTATTCTATTTCAGTCGCATTTCGAAATAGGAGATTAGGAGATTTTTAATATTTGAATGTAAGTCAACTATGATATTTCAATATTCAGGGCTGGAAATGTAGATAGGAACGTGGCGTGTCCAGAAATATCTCCACTATGAATATTTCAAGAGAAACATGAATGGCATTTTCGCCAGACAATTGGTCCCTTCAAATAAAATTGAATTCAAATTTAAATATCAGACGTGTAAGGAAAAAACAAAACTTCGCTTTATACAGTCTTATCCAAAAGTCTGGAAATGGCTAATTATCTACAGTGTATCCACAGGTGAGAATTTCACGGAATATGGTAACCTGGGATTTTTGAACATGTCGAATTCAAAAAAAGTGTCGAAGGTGTTGCCAAATTGACAGTTTTTCTGCAACCTAACCTAACTTTATTTTTTCAAGTGAAATGGATTTATTTTATTTTTTTCATCGCAATTCAAACTAGGTGATTATTTATGAAAAATTAGAACAAGAAAAATGTGTGAGTAACTTAAGAATATGTTCAAAATGTCTTAAGGCTTAAATAGCGTTTGGAGCCATTCCCGGAGTTCTTTCTGTCTAATCTCTAATTCTCATTAAAAAGTCAGGATTCTCAGGCTTTGTTTAAGACACGCTTGTTTTCGAGTGTCTCCAAAAGAAAGAAATCCAATGGATTTAAGTCAGGTGCTCAACCCAACATCCCGGAAACGTCCTACTTGAATAATTTCTAACAGCAAGAGGCGCGGCTGTATCCTGCTGGAGGCCAATACCATTAGGTAGAATAGCATCTTATTTTGGAATAATTCCCTTCTCTAGTAGCCAAAAATGAACAAGCCTAGTCAGATTTCGTTGTGTGGCCGACACTTTGAGGGTGCTGTATGTGGACCTCCATGATCAATGATAATATGGAATAGTTTCATCATCTGAAAATAGAGTTCTGATGGAAAAATTTGGGTCTGGGTTGATCATTTCCATAACTGTATGGAATAATTTTATTCTTCTTTCTGGGTCGTCTTGAGATAACTCCTAAAGAAGTTGTTTTGCTTGAAAATTCTGCTAGGAGAAGTTTGGCTGATATTATTTTCACGACATATTGAGTGATGGACATTTAAGGGTACTCCACTGCAGCAAGTAGAACATCTAGCGTTTTTTTCCATCATTGGCAGCTATTTTCGAACGCCCTGTTCTTAGAAATTTCACGTGGCCTGTTGCTACAAAAATATCTTTGCCACAGTGGACATTTGGTGGCCTATCTGGAAACTCCTCATTGTAAATATCGCAAACACTCTCATATACGTCTTCGATCTTCGTAGCCGATCATCATAAAAACTTGTATTCGTTCTGTTTCTGACAGATTTGCAGCGAAAATTTCAGATTGTAGCTCTTTAAAGTACTTTCTCACATGTGGTTTTGGAGATAATCAGCCGTTTCCAGACTTTTAGCTTACCCTGCATAAAAAATTTGATTGTGCGTGTAATTTGAATTTTTCAAAGTAAATTCGTTAATAACGAGGTTAATAATTACTTATTTTTTTCACGAAACAAATTTAAGACTCAAAGAATTACCGGCGATGGACAAGGATGGGTGGATATGGGAGATAGTCCAGTTTTTGGAACAGATAGTTCAAACTACATTACGATTGCACCAGTACGAGATGGACCAGCAGGAACCTTCAGGCATGCTGTATCAGTAAATATTCCTAAAAAAAGGACAATACCCCTTACGCATGGACGATTTGAGGTGCAAAGAATATTAACCTGGGACCATTCGAATGACGTTATGTAAGTAATGTTACTTGGTTTAAATGTTGATATACATGGATAGATAAAGATTTAGAGGGGTGACTTGCGTTGCCTTGTGCTTAGGTCTCTCTAGTAGGCCCATTGTAACCTTTGTTACAGTGTTACTCGTTAAGACAGCCGACAGTATTGATTTGATGATGACTCCGAAATAAGTGCGCATTTTGTTATCATATATAGAGTACAGTAGGACATACACTTTTTGCATAGGAACATGTGTCCACAAACGTCTCGTTGTCTTGACATTTTCGGAAAATTTTTACTTTAGATTCAAAATGCCTTTAGCGATTTTGTTCAAATTTTCGGAGTGCTTGCGATGTTTTCAAGCATTTTTCTGAAAAATCCGTTTGAGTTTCAATTTCCCAGTACCGGACCTACTGCGATTCTTATTTTTTTAAAAGAAAAACTCGAGGAAAAACTTGATACACCCCTGGGTTTGACAAATTAAAAATTGTTTTTTGATTCTAGTAAAAAAGTTTTTCCGAGCTATAATGCCATGGTCCATTAGTGTTTCTACCTAATGTTTCGTCTACTGCTGCGGGGGACATCTTCAGATTCGGTGTGGTAGAGAAAGAAGTGTTCTCTTCCATGTTCCTCCGATGACTGGATTCGACGTTGTTGGACCTGCGTTATTTATATCCAGGGTTGTGAGTTTGGCTTGTATTATGCTATTTCCTTTGTTTCGTTCTCGGAAAGGAAGGGTTTTGTTTTTCAGAGAACTGGCAACCAGCTTTTGTTGAGGTTTGTGCCCTCTTCTTTTTTGTTGTTGTGGTGTTTCTGTATCTCTATGGCTTTTCTGGTGAAAAATGTGTAAAAAAGACTCCACAGAAACACCACAACAACTTTAACCGAAAAGAAGAGGGCATGAACATCAACAAAAGCTGCATGCCAGTTCTCCGAAAAACAAAGAATTTTCCTTTCTGAACGAGACAAAGAAAACAGCGTAATACAAGCCACGCCCACAACCCTGGATTAGTAGATTTGACCGGCCGTGGAAGCCTCCATTCTTTATTTTTTGTTTGTTGAATTTTGAAAAAAAAGGTATCCCGAGTTTTTCTTGTTTGATACGACCTTTATAAACCTGAGATAGGGTCTGCTTAGTGGAGTCATTTTTTTTTGTCTGGCATTTTGAGGGATGCATGTGGCTAGCTAGTTAGGTGATGAGAATATGGGTGATTTTAATGCCTGCCCCTCGTTCGAAAATTTGCAGAAGAAATAAATTCATTTACATGAAGATTTTTTTTAATGATCTCAAATTGTCTGGCTTTTGAATAATAGTATATTACAATCCGAGACGGGAAATGCTTCATTACTGGTCGAGAGGTTTTATAGCCTTAACCTCGAGACAGCAATGAAGTTTCCCGTCGAGGTTTGTATACTATTTTATTTTTAACCATAATTTCTTGAGAAAAAAAAAATTCGGGGCAACCAAATGAGGTCGGCAAATGAAGAGAAAAATGAGAACAGGAAATATTTCCCTGCTTAATTTTCCGTCCGTGGACGGGAAATGAGGACGGAAAAAATTTCCCGTCCTCACTTCCCGTCCTGGGACAGGTACCTAATGGAGCAGGAAAATGGAAAGTCAGAAATGTGACATTTTCAAATTTTTGAAAAGTTAGTAATGACAACATTTCATATATGGTTAAAAATAAAAGATTGACAGTGATAAATAATTCACACATAAAAAAATACCAGATACTTTCCGATGTCTGGAAAAAAAAGGGATGAGTCTCAACTTGCAAGAGAAAAGTATAGAAACTTCCGCATTTACTTTCTGTCTGGCAATCGTAGAATAAAAGGTTTTATCTACGACTATTTAATAATAGACGCATTTTGCTTGTGATAGTAACCACATAATGTAACTCATATTACACACCTGTGGAATATGAATCTCATATTCCACACCCGTGGAATATAGGTAGATTCTTATACGTATTCCATAACATGACAGCATTGACAGCGTTCCAAAATAGAATCGAGCTTGTTTGGATTGTTCTCACTAGGGCAACTAAAATATTTGATTTTCACAAAATAATTATATTAGACGTTTGCAGTAATTTTGCAATTCTCAGTTGCGCTTAAATTGTGTTTAACGCGTGTTTCTCATGCATTCCGGCATTGAATACAAAATTCCATGCACCCCTCCAGAAATTCGTGCTGCCGCACGAGTAGCATCTCTAGCATTACTCCCAGAGAAATCAAGGAGGAATTGCAAACTTGTATACAACATCTTTGTAGACGGGCGACTAAAGAATGAAGAGTCGTAGATAAAGCATAGTATTTGACTCGCGTATAATGGCTATATATAGCGCGTAATATAGCCTACATCATACGCTCGTTAAATAATATACTATTATTATGAAAATAACGCTGAAAAATCGCCAGACGGTAATCACAGTCCGAAATCGAGTTTTCGAGCGGAAAATTCTGTGGACATTTCGAACAGGGAGCAGGCTAACGTGGATTTATGTGACATATATAACAAACATAATATACATGAATAAATAGACACTATGTGAAGAAAGGAATGCGGCAATAATAATAATTAAAAAAAATCTATCCTTACTGACAATAAACGAAAATTTCAACCAACCTACACGATAGATATCAGTGCTGCTTTGAATTTTGAATAAGAATGGAGGGAAAAAAAAAAAGACAGAAGGAAAAGAAAATAAAAATTGACTAAATGGAAAATTGAAAAGCAGGTAACATCCCAAACTAATTTTGCTAGCATTTTAAATTAAATTTTAAACACAAATAAAGTTCCTTCGTATTGTTTTAGTAGTTTCCGTTAAATTAAATTGTGTAATGCTCCTGTAATATTGTCTTTGTATTTTGTAATTTGTCATTTTACTCGCTTTGATTTTTGTTACGAAAAAAAAAAAAAAAATTTTTAGAGATATGTATGATATAGATAAGATTTATTTTAGAATTGTATTTCTGAAGATGGTAATAAAAATACCGAAACGTCACAGAAATAATTTGTTTTAATGCACGACCGAATCCCAGGAAAGAAGAAAACTATTTTCTAAACTTGACGGTCAGGAAAACTACCAATTAATTATATATAATAACGCCGGACTCACAGTCCGCATCTCTTTTTTCATTGAAAAGGAAATGAAAACCATGCATAACTAAATCAGTTTTGGAGAAAATATATAAAGACATCCAATGTAAATATATTTGCATATTTTGAAGGTAAATTGATGAAATGAAAAAGTCCAGAAAATGATTAATAGGAAATAAAGCTCAAAATCCTGTTTACAATTTTTAAATTGCGAAAATCACATAAATCTAGGACGTACAAAACAGATAAAACATTACATTTTCAGAAACAAAAACAGAATTTCTAACAAATAAAAAATTTGTACATTTTGAGAACCAAAACTTTTATCCTAAACTTAAAATGGCTAACTGAAATAATATCGTCAATCTTCGTCACTTTCACCAGCCAAGCAGTCACAACACATGTAGTTGGCATGTTCCAAAGAAATTGTTTTTTTACAGTATGCACAGCTAAATCTTGTAGGTCAATTTTTTTTCTGATAAATAAAAGTAGCGTCGTTTGATGTTTTCGGCTAACACTTCCTGCAATGGCAAACATAAAATTTCTCTAAGGCGAAGTCTAATAGTACGTGGTATTCGATTATTAGCAGTTCTTAGTCGTAAGTTATAAGATCCAATCAGTTGTTGTCCAACATATTTGCAGTATAAAACAATTTGGCGTCTACTAGAGAATATATCTTGATAGCATATCGATTAGGTTTATTGGGCATTAATACTCGAAAGTTGCATCTCCCTCGAAATGCCACCAACATTTCGTCCACAATTATGAGTTCGGACATACAAAAATATTTAGACAAATTAGAATTAAATGAATAAAAGATATCCCGGATTTAAGCTAATTTGTCGTATTTTTGTCTCTTTATTCTAGTATTTTTATTGTCAAAACCAATACATTGCAACAAAAATCTAAACCGTTCTCGAGACATTGTCAAACGAAATATTTCCATGAATGTTCCATTTGTTCTAAATAAGTCAGAGGTATTTACCCCGTAGTATAGCATACCCGGGTTCGTTCAGCAAGATTGAACGGTTTGAATTTTTTATCTCTTTTAAACAACAAATCCTCTGAAAAACGAAATGAAAAACAAATAGGACCTACGTTGTGGAAACTTACTCAATTTTACTTACTTTTTATGCGCCCGACAATAGCAAATTTAGGGAAATTTAAGGGAAGTTGTGATATGTCAAATAAACGAAGATTTGTGCAACGTCTAATTTATTATTAGAAAATCGTACCGTTCGCGACCTGGAACTCACGAGGGGAAAGAGCACGGCAGTGAAACCCTCGATCTAACATGCCTCAAAAATCAAAAAATACTGTGTCATTTCAATAAATAATAGTGAGTCAATAAAAGTTTAAATTAGGTACTATCACTCTTCTTGTGCTAAAATTTCAATTCCACACACCACATTCAATCAACACTACCTATATTCTGAAGAATTTTTGGTTAGTTAGCCAATTCCACTACCAGGTACTGAGGTCCCTGTTTACGGGAGGCTACTCAGCTATAGTTGTTATTTTGAGCCAATATCTCTAGATTGATTTTTAGATTTGTTTGCCAGGATATTCGCTAATCAGGGTGGGAAAATGTTAGTAGATTCAACAACGCCCTAATGTACGCTCTGAATACCGAATATCAAAATCCCAGCACAAAAGACAACACATAATTTCTTAGGTTTTAATTTACTCTCTATCTCCGTTGTTTACAGCATGAAACGATTTTTGTACGATACACGAACAATGCACATGTTATAAAAAATGTTATAAACAAACAAAAAAACATAAAAATGAAAAAATTAATACTTGTATAAATAAAACTCGCAGAAGCAAAATAACAAAAATTATTCAACTGACCTGTGAAGGCTCCTTATGTCGCACAAACTAATCACAAACTGGATTGAACAGTCAGTTAAAT